CTTAAAGAATTGTAAGTTATTAATGATTAAATATAAAAGGTGTATAAGTGAAATTGTGAATAAGATAAAATAAGTGAATTTGGAAGTTGGAATTGACTTGTCAATAGTGAGAATAAGAAGTAATAAGTGTTAGAAATGAGTCTGGATTATGTTGAAAATTTAGTAAGATTCTTAGTTTCAAGAATTTGAATAAAATATTGAAGTTAATAAGGTGTTAGAATGATAAGAGATAGTTAAAGTGCTTGTAGTTGTCTTTGGTGGTATGAAATGAACTTTAAAGGTGGAAATTAAGTAAAGCGTTGATAATTTACGGATGTTGGGAGTATTTCTGGGTTGGTAGTATCGGTACTCGATGAACAAGTACCGATACTACAAAGCCATATTAGGTGAAAATATTATGTAGGTATCGATACTGTATGAACAGTATCGATACCATAAGGCCTATATTAACAACTTTTTCATGAGGTATCAATACCGAAAGGGGTAGTATTGGTACCAAGTGTACCGATACCATATGGAAGGTATCGATACCATTTTAGGAAATAGAATTACAGAATCAGGAAAAGGTATCGATACCAAGCACTGTATCGATACCATTATAAAGGAAGTCTCGGTACTGTACCTTGGGCACCGATTCTACCTAATAAGGAAAATGTGAATTATGTCCGTCAGATAGATTAAGTTATTAAGATCGAGTCATAATGTTTAGGTTATTGTTTTGGAAATCATATCTATGTAGATACTGAGCATAAACAAGTTCTGAAACAATTAACGAGTAAGATTGATCGACGAAAAGACAAAGAGATATAAGTGTGTTTCTTGGAATAGTGAGGCTAAGGTGAGTGCATACTTACAAAATATTTATAGTACGATCTTGAAATTAGACTTGTGATAAGTCTAGTTTCAACATATTTAATACATGATTGCATAAGTAGAAGCATAGTCATGAATGGTAGGGTGTAAACATGTCTTGATTTCATTACACAATATGATATATGACATGAGCCAATATGTTATGCATTATAAGACAATGATCTAAGTGAATATGTATGAGAAGTTTACATGAAATATGTGATAAAAGCTACAAACTTATATGTCTATGAGATATAAACTATGTGAATTGTGAAAAGCCCATGTTATGTAGATGAGAGCAATAGGTAAAATTGGCATGCGGTTCTACGTGGTCCTTCGGGACATATATGTAATCATGTGGAACATATATGCAATTCTTTGAGACACATATTTGGTCCTTTGGAATATATATATATGGTCTTTAAGATGATTTCTATGTAGTCATTCGGGACATTTTATATGGCACTACAGTGCATTTCTATGCGGCACTTCGATACTTTTCTACGTGGCACTTCGGTGCATTTTATACGACTGTGATGATATCATTTGTGCACAACCTCAATGCTCTTACATACCTTAAGTTCTCGGTATTGTATCATGGGCTAATGAAATATATAATATGAATTAATATTAAATACTGTGATAAGTTCTATGTGTGAAATGCATGACTATGTAGGTTGCATTGAATGAATATATGATTGCATAATACCACATTTCATTAAAGTATCATTATATATTTTACCTCACTAAGTCGATGACTTAGCGTGTGAGTGTTTCACATATAGGATCAAGGAAGTCAATCGATCAAGAATAGGCAGCTGAGATAACATCACTCCTTTAGATATCAGATCAGAAGCAACTTAAACAGTAGGTTCTTTTGTTATAATAATCTTTGTTGGCATGTAATTAAAAGTTTAAGTTGTATATGCTCTGATCCATTGTACACTTTTATATTAAGTTTATGTAAATATTTTGTTTATTTAATACAAGTTTAAAATTTTCCATAATTTTTGTACAAGTACTTTGATTTGAAAAGTCAATGTGACACCTTGGACTTGTATCCGGGATGGGTACGGGTTAAGGGTTTTACATTTAATGGTATAAGAGCTATAGCATATTCGATTCTAGGTATAAACCAAAGTCTAGAGATTCTTTAAAAGTATACATGCCAACAAATAGTGAGAACTTTTGATCTGATAGAGTAATGAGTATGATGTCTTACTAATAGTATTATGTGGTTATTTCTTATTAGATGTCTGGACACGATAACCCACGAAGTGAAGCAGGAGATGATAAGTTAGCAGAGAGTAGTAATTCACCTACCCTATCTAGGAAAAGTAAAGAACAGACACCTCAGGGAGTGCCTGTGCAAGATCATGATATGTTCTTTAGTATGTTGGACGCTATTCTGATGCATTTCTAGCCTCTTGCTCCATCAACTCAAAGGATGAATTTGACGAATGAGTTAAAAGGATTGGGAGCTCCCGAATTTAAGGGAGAAGCCAAAGAAGGTCTGGTTGCGGCGAACCTCTGGCTTAATGATTTGAACATCATGTTGGATAGTCTCCACTGCCCAGAAGTGGAGAAGTTAGATGGAGCAGTTTCTTTGCTAAAGGGACAAGCTAGGATATGGTAGACGAATGTCACCATGAGGTTGGCAAATGATCAAGTGACTTGGGCTTTATTCTTGAAAGAGTTCAAGCACAAGTATATTGGAGATCAGTTTATTAGGCAAATGAAGCAGGAGTTTATGAGTTTGAAGCAGTTGAATCGTACAATATATGAATATGAGTGCGGGTTTAATAAGTTGAGTCAATTTACTGCTGAGCTTATTCCAACAGAAAAAGACGCTTGTGAATAGTTTATGGAGGGCTTGCGTCCTTGATTAAAGGAGATGCTGATAGTATTGAATCGTTCCTCCTTTCAAGAGATGGTTAATCGTGCAAAAGCTCTAGAGAGAGCTCAGAATGAAAGATTTAGAGAACAAAGGGTACAAACATCTAAGAGAACTGGTGCTTCTTCAAGCTCAGCACCATCAAAAAGAGGTAGAGATTCTGGATTTTGACCTTAGGCTAGGTCTGAGTCAGTTCCATCCTCTGCTAGATGATCAAGTCATATAAGAACTAAACAGATACAATCAGTGGGATCTGGTACTGGGAGATCAAATCAGGGCCAATCAAGACAGTTTTAGCATTATGGGAATAATCATTTTGGAATGTGTCGGATGGCCTCCGGAACCTGTTTCTGATGTGGGGTCACCGAAAATTTTATCTGGGATTATCCATTAATGGCTGGCGAATCTGTACCATCCAATAGAATCGCTTCTGCATCGCAAAGAGGATGAGAAAGAGGTAGAGGGAGAAACCAGTCCGAATCCTCTACAGAACATGAAGTACGTTCAACTGCGCGAGTGTATAATATAAAGACAAATGAAGATCATGATGATCCAGAGATTATAGCAGGTTCTTTTCAGTTGTTTGATAAATTAGTGTTAGTATTGATTGATCCGGGTTCCACTTATTCATATATTAGTAGTAAATTAGTAAAAGAGTTGAGAATTCCATTAGCAGCTACGAGTAGTGAGGTGATAGTGATTAATCCTTTAGGGCATAGTGCTTGGGTAAATAAAGTTTGTAAGGGGTGTCCCATAAGGATTCAGGGAATTGAATTCCCTGTTAATCTGATGGAATTACCCTTTGACGAGTTTGAAATAATTTTAGGGATGGACTGGTTGTACCATTATCATGCAAATTTCTAATGTAGACTGAAAAAGGTAACTCTGATTAGTTCAGAGGGAACAACAGTGAATGTGATTAGTGAAAGAGTGAATCATTTAGCAAATGTAATATCAGCAATGTCAGCAAAGAAGTTGTTGCTACAAGGATGTCAGGGTTTTCTTGCAAATGTGATAGATACTAGAGCTAAAGAGAATGGTTTAGAATAAATTCCAATAGTAAGAGAGTTCCATGATGTCTTTCCTTTAGAGTTGCCAGGACTACCTCCAGATAGAGAAGTGAAATTTCAAATTGAATTAATGCTTGGAACAGCTCCTATTGCAATGGCACCTTATAGAATGACACCAAAAGAATTGAACGAGTTGAAGAATCAATTGCACGAATTATTATAGAAGGGATTTGTAAGACCAAGTGTGTCACCTTGGGGAGCTCCAGTTTTGTTTGTTAAGAAGAATGATGGTTCAATGTGTCTTTGCATTGATTATCGACAACTCAATAAGGTGACCATCAAGAATAAGTATCCCCTCCTAAGAATTGATGACTCGTTTAAACAGTTAAAGGGAGCTTCAGTATTCTCGAAGATCGACTTACGTTCTTGTTATCATCAATTGAAGATTCAGGAGAAATACAATCCGAAGACATCTTTTAGAACGAGATATGGTCACTATGAGTTCATAGTAATCCTATTTGGGGTAACAAATACACCTACTGCTTTTATGGATCTCATCAATAGGATATTTCAACCTTATCTGGACCAGTTTGTAGTTGTTTTTATTGATGATATATTGGTGTACTCGAAGTCCAATGAAGAGCATAGTGCACATCTGATGGTAGTTTTACAAACCCTAAGAGATAAGAAGCTTTATGACAAATTGTCTAAATGTGAGTTTTGGCTAAATAAAGTGACTTTCCTGGGGCATGTGATCTTTGCAGATGAGATTCGGGTGGATCCTCAAAAGATAAAAGCTATTTTGGAATGGGAAGTTCCAAAGAATGTGTCTGAAGTTCGGAGTTTCCTTGGGCTTGCTGGTTATTATCGAAGATTTGTTAAAAATTCCTCAATGATAGTTCTACCTTTGACCAAATTGATGAGGAAAGGTGTACCATTTGTTTCGAATTCCGAGTGTCAAGAAAGTTTTGAAGCATTAAAGAGAATTTTGACAGAAGCTCCAGTGTTGGTCCAACCTAAGTCTGGCAAGAATTAAGTTGTTTATAGTGATACGTCTCATAACGGTTTGGGATATGTATTGATGCAAGAAGGGAAAGTGGTAGCATATGCCTCTAGACAATTAAAATCACATGAAAAGAACATGGTTTAGAATTGGCTACAGTAGTGTTCGCTCTCAAGATTTGATGTCACAACCTATATAGAGAACATTGTTATATACGGATCGTAAAAACTTGAAGTATCTGATGACTCAGAAAGAATTAAATTTGAGTAAGAGAGTATTGGTGGAGTTCTTAAAGGATTACGATGTAGTAATTGATTTCCATCTTGGAAAAGCTAACGTAGTAGCAGCTGCTTTAAATAGAAAAACGCTTGCAGCCTTACGAGCTTTAGACGCCATGTTATCTTTAAATGGAGATGGTGGTCTATGCACAGAATTAAAGCTTAAACCAACATGGTTGGATCGAATTAGAGAATTGCAAAATAAAGATGAAATGTGTTTGAAAAGATTGGAACAAGTAAATAATGAAGAGAATAAGAATTTCGAGATTAAGTGTGATGAGAATTTGTACTATATAGAAAGAGTGATGATTCCAGATGATGAGGAATTGAAGAAGGATCTATTGACACAGGCCCACTCCAGTCCATTGACGATGCACTCGGTGGAAACAAGATGCATATGGATATGAAGAATCAGTATTGGTGGCCAGGAATGAAAATAAGTATTACTGAATTTGTGTCTAAATGTTTAACATGTCAACAAGTCAAATCCGATCATCAAGTTCCTTCAGGATTATTCCAACCACTTTCTATTCCTCAATGGAAGTGGGAGAATGTGACGATTGATTTTGTTTCGGGGTTACCTCTAACTCCAAAAAAAGATATTCAATTTGGGTAATTATTGATCGATTGACCAAGTCAGCACATTTTCTTCCTGTTAAAACTGATTTCTCTTTGGAAAAGTATGCTGAGTTGTACATTAGAGAAATTATTAGATTACATGGAGTTCTTGTTTCAATAGTTTCTGACCGAGATCCATGATTCACCTCGAGATTTTGGAAATCTTTATATGAAGCATTAGGAACTCGATTGAACTTTAGTACAACTTTCCACCCTTAGACGGATGGATAATTCGAGATGACTATTAAAATATTAGAAGATATGTTGAGATTATGCATAATTGAGTTCAAAGGGTCGTGGGAAAAGTATTTACCACTTGCAGAATTTGCTTACAACAATAGTTATCAGTCCAACATTAAGATGGCACCCTATGAGGTGTTATATGGGAGGAAATGTCATACGCCATTAAATTAGCATGAGCTTAATTATCGAAGTGTTATTGGTCCGAATTTGATTCAAGATGTGGAAGAAAAAGTTCAGGAAATTCAGTATAATCTCAAAGTGGCATTTGACAGGAATAAGTCATATTCTGATCTTAAAAGAAAAGAAATTGAATTCAAAGTTGGAGATAAAGTTTTCCTAAAGGTATCTCCATGGAAGAAATTATTAAGGTTTGGTTGGAAAGGAAAATTGAGTCATAGATTCATTGGGCCATACGAGATTGTTAAGAGGATGTAACCAGTGGCATATCATTTAGCTTTGCCTTCTGAAATGGAGAAAATTCATAACGTTTTCCATGTGTCCATACTACGGAGATATAGGTCCGACCCCTCTCATATCATTGCACCAGAACAAATAGAAGTTCAATCTGATTTGGCCTATGAGGAGGAACCAGTGCAAATATTGGCTTATGAAGTTAAGCAGTTAAGGAATAAAATAGTTCCATTAGTCAAAATTTTATGGAGAAATCACAAAGTAAAATAAGAATTATGGGAACGTGAAGAAGATATACGTAATCAATACCCCCATCCCTTCATGTAATGAAAATTTAAGGACGAGTTTTATTAAGGGGGAGATTTGTAACATCCCAAACATCAGGATAGTGACTAAATTATGAGATTTTAGAATTTAGTGACTAAATTAGATAAATTGAAAATTTTAGGGACTTAATTAGAATATTTTATATAGGATTGATTAGCAAAGAAAGAGGAATAAAAGGAAAAAATGGTCAATTGACAAGGAAAATAATTAAAAATTTGGTTGTGGTTATTTTATAATCACGTGGAGCTCATAATTGGAAGAACAAAGGATTCTAGACAACTCTTCATTTTTTTCCTCATCCAGCCGTGAAGTTCTATAAGCTAAAGTGAGTTTGGTTTCAGCTGATTAATTCTTGAAATTTAGGAGTGGTTTTGATTGATGGAGCTTTAGGAAAGATTATGGAGACAAAAAGAGATATAAAAACTTAAAGAATTGTAAGTTATGGTTGATTAAATGTAAGAGGTGTTTAAGTGAAATTGTGAATAAGATGAAATAAGTGAATTTGGAAGTTGGAATTGACTTGTCAATAGTTAGAATAAGAAGTAATAAGTGTTAGAAATGAGTTTGGATTATGTTGAAAATTTAGTAAGATTCTTAGTTTCAAGAATTTGAATAAGATATTGAAGTTAATATGGTGTTAGAATGATAAAAGATAGTTAAAGTGTTTGTAGTTGGGTTTGGTGGTATGAAAGGAACTTTAAAGGTGGAAATTAAGTAAAGTGTTGATAATTTTTGGATGTTGGGAGTATGTTCTGGGTTGGTAGTATCGGTACTCGATGAACAAGTACCGATACTACAAAGCCATATTATGTGAAAATATTGTGTAGGTATCGATATTACATGAACATTATCGGTACCATGAGGCATATATTAACAACTTCTTAATGAGATATCGATACCGAAAGGGGTAATATCGATACCAAGGTACCGATACCATAAGGAATGTATCAATACCATTTTGGGAAATATAATTATAGAATCAGGAAAGGGTATTGATACTCAAGCACAATATCGATACCATTATAAAGGAAGTATCGGTACTGTACCTTGGGTACCGATACTACTTAATAAGGAAAATGTGAATTATGTCCGTCAGATAGCTTAAGTTATTAAGATCAACTCATAATGTTTAGGATTCTAATTATTGTTTTGGAAATAATATCTATTTAGATAATGAGCATAAACAAGTTCCGGAACAATTGATAAGTAAGATTGATCGAGGGAAAGACAAAGAGATATATGTGTGTTGCTTGGAATAGTGAGGCTAAGGTGAGTGCATACTTGTAGAATATTTTTATTATGATCTTGAAATTAGACTTGTGATAAGTCTAGTTTCAACATATTTAATACATGATTGCATAAGTATAAGCATAATCATGAATGGTAGGGTGTAAACATATCTTGATTGGATTACACGATATGATATATGACATGAACTCATCTGCTATTTATGAGTACTATAAATGAGTGCGGATATATGTGCAAGTATACACAATCAAACAAGTAATACAGTGATGAGTGAGTATCGTCTCCACAGGGATTGGGGGAAATCAAATAAGTTTGTCAAGACACTTTACTCTGTCACCTAAGTAAAGTTAGTGATGATATATACAAATGATAATATTGTGGCAAAATAGAATGACTGATGTGGAAATGGAATGATGGTAATGTGGTAGCGAATGGATATGTAGTGGCAAGTTGAATTGTGTTGAGTGCAAACAAATGGAAATGTCAAGGCAAAATTAAATGTAAATATAGGAATTAATTGATAGGACTTTTTCTTTCTCACACGACAAGCTACTATGGGAATGAGTGATGAGAGTCACTCTGGAAAACCTAAGTTTACTTCTCTGAGTGATCTTATCTCTATGCTTCTTCTGCCCGAGAAAGTATACTAAGGTGCCCTATGCTATCTCTAGTAAGTTACTCGACAAATTGAAGATGCCCTGGCAAAACCGGTTGGCGTAAACCCCTGCAGTAATCCTATTGGTCTAGATAACAGGATATATCTCGGTAATACCTTTTTGCGGTAGCATTAACATCTAACCTATCGTTCATGCACAACTCCTTTTAGTTGAATGAAATCCTAACCTTATCTCTAAGGTGGATTAGGCCTAGTTACTACCTAGAACCCCTTGTTTATGTGGTTCCTCCCTAGTTTCTCTCGAACACTAAGGATGTGTTATCTCGACATTATCTCAAACCCAAAGAATCTCCTAAGGAATGGCTACTCTCATAGCTCCTACAACCTTAAGGCACTAAGTTTCATAAACAAAACAGATTATAACATAGAAAAACAACCATTCATTGAAATAAAACTTAAATATCCAAATGAACTCCTACCAAATATGATTAGTTCATGGTGGGGTTTGAAATAAACAAACACAAAGAAAGTTTCATCAATTCCTTACAACTCAAATAACAAAATATGAAAGCAAAAAACTAAGGGAAGGAGAAAAAGTCTTCGATGTGCACTTCCGGAGCTTCCCTCGACCACCATGAATTGCCCCTAGCAAACTAGCTCCTCTCGAATGCTTAGAACGCCACTCCCTCAAGCTTGTCATGGAGAAATGCCACGTCATGGAGAAATGCCACGACAAGTAGGATTGCCGGAGAAAAGTAAGACCTTCTCTCTCTAACCTTTAAGCTTAAATCAACGTGGAACCAAAGTCTTATTCATTGTGGCAATCCTCTATTTATAAGGGAAATTTAACCCTAGGACTTGGTGTTGACTTTCCTAGGATACTCCAAACCTTGGTAAAATTACGTGGGGATCGGGCAGAGTAGGCTATGATCCAGCCTGGGTTGCTGGCTGAGTACCTGGCATAATCCCGCTGCAGAAGCCCAAGGACAAGCAAGATCTGCAGCGCAGGTGGCGTAGTCAGCAGGATTGGCAGTAGCAGCGCCGATTCCTCCAGGCAGATCTTTGAGGTAGATTTCTTGGAAAGAGGTTTCGTGAAAGTAAGAGACAACTGGCTTCAAAAATATCTTCTCGCATTTTGCTCGCTTTCGAAATGTCAATCCAACTCGATATTTTCATTCTGCTCAGCAATCTCCTTATGTCACGACATATTCCTTTTCTCTTTTCTGTGTTCTCAATCCCTACACATCAATAGACAAACACCTTTCCCATAAGGTAGCACCGCTTTAAAAATAAAATGTCGCGACAAACCGAATTCCACCACATGCAACTAAATGCTTCTAAATGAATCTACATGGTCCTAAATGAGCTCATAGACATTCAATAACTTAAGTGAAAAGGTCCCAAAATGTGACCTTTTTACGGAGTTATCACACCCCCAAACTTAAGCTATTGCTTGTCCTCAAGCAATTGATAATATTAAGCAAAACAAAAATACCATGACAAGTTCAGAAGCATAATAGTTTTATGTGATAAAATTCCAGCCCTCAGCACAATTGGCTTCAACATGCTAGACTAGTTCGAGAAATCAAGTATTGTCCCATAGGGAAAGATTCTTTATGTGGGTGTGTGCGTGTTTGTATCCAGTCCATGCTTTACAAACTTAAAAAATTTTTAAGCAAGATTTCTTAATTTTCCATGACATTTACAAATTTTACTCCCACCTTGTTTTCTTTTCTTTCATTAATTCTGCTACGAGGGGAGTCAACCTATCACACCTACAATCCCACACTCTAGGTGAAAGGGAGCATACCTTCCACCCCCGAGCTATTCAGGTAGAGTCATCTAATCCCGTGACTACTTTCATTCACTCATATGCCTTGGCATAACAGAGTGTCACTCTACAGATATGCCTACGCATTTATTCACAACTTCATTTTTTTTTGT